GTAAAAAAGGGTATAGTGTTGAAAAGCTGAATGCAGGTGGTTAACGACTAGACTCTAGGTTCACTATAACATCTATAAAGAGGGACTTCGGCGATGTAAATTAAAACTGTAAAATGCAAGAGAATATTTTCTCTCTGAGATTATCAGCAAAAAAATTAAAATCATAAAAAGCTTATGTCTTAGTGGCTAACCCTCCTGTGAGAGTATTTGAGCTACATTCTATTATAGCCTGCTGCAAAGTTGCCTGCTACTTCATTGAAAAAAATATTAGAGGGGCAGTCTGTACATTGATGTTAAGTCCAGTACCAAAGTGACGAGCAGCTTCAATGTCTTCCAGTCAGGCTTCCATACTCTCCACAATACAGAGACTTCAGTCACATCTGAATAAATGCAGACTGTGAAAGCTGTGTGCTAGTATCACTGGACGTTAGGGGAGCATTCGACACACTTGATCACTCTGTTCTGAGAACACCTGAGAAACTGAGTCGGCCTTTCTAGTACAGCTCCAGACTAGCACTGTACTAGTCCAGAGCTGTCTTGTTCGTAGGTATCTTTACATCTGATACTCCAAAACCCTGAGGGTCCATCTTAGGGCTCCTTTTATTCAATATGTAGGTGCTTCCTCTCAGATTTTGCTAAACAACAACAACATATGTTACCATAGCTTACACTATCAACATATGACAATGAACTGCTGTTGATCCAGAAAGCTGCTATCTGATAATCATCACTAAAACTAACAAAGTAGAGCATAACACCACCCTTATATAGTCCTTACACTGGCTTCTTGAATCTCAGAGAACATATATACAGACTTGTTTAAATGCAATATTCTTAGTCTGTAGTCCAACTTTTCTTTAACTGCATTTATTATGTCACTGAAGTGTAAAGTGTTCCAAACTATACAGAGAACTTTGCCTTGATTGGGTCCAAAAAAACTGAATCTAGTTGTATTGTTCTGCAGCAAAGGGTAACTGCAAATGCTACAATAAAAAATAGTTAACAAGTGTACACCTTACATGCCTAACACTAACAATAAACAGCACCATTAATAACGTCAGCTCTTTTGACAGAGTTTTCACAAAGTTCCTCTATAGAGTAGGCCCATCCATGGCAGTCTAAACCTTTACGGGAAAACTACTCATATAATATTGATGCTGTTGTTCATATTTCTGCAATATTCCTCATATTCTCAATTTCCCAGTGCCAGCGACGGGATATGGGGATCATTTTCATGTGTACAGTATAATAGGATCTGGGATTTGTGCTGACAGCAATGCAGTGTCAGCCACTTGCAGGAGGCTGTTCTGGTGAAAACTACAAGTAAAACGTAAACTGAAAATCCCCCATATAAATATTTTAGTAGGAGTCATTATACAACTTGTCAGCATATGGGGCTTAGCTGATTTGTCCCTTTACTTCTTTTACTTTTGAGTAAAAATACATAAAAATACATTATGTTCTTCTACTCAGATTTAATGCCTCCCTTTGAGAACCTAGATTTTCACATCTTAACTTTCTTCAATTAAAAACTGAAAAAGGCCAGACAAAGTGGAATAAGAGAAAAAAAAAGAAAACTGGTTTTGTTGAACAAACAGCAGGAGAAGTGATAACTGGATGGAGGAGCAGACATGAAGGAAGATTGAAGGTCGTAGCTGCAATTTTTGCATGAAAGAATAATCTTTTTCAAAAATAATGAAACCACAGAACATCTAAGGTGGTGTAGAATAAAAGTATACATTTTATTGAAAAAGCATAATGTATAAGTGATTGTAATATAAACTATGACGAGTTCAAAATATATAAGATGTACTTTTGTCCATGACAACAACGCGACAAAGCTCAGACAAAAACCTAGTAGCCTTATAATAGCCCTAAGAAAATACTTCCATGTCTTTGATTCAAGCTAATATTAATGAGCAAAACTAGGTTGAACATTGGTAAAGCCTTTGAGAGTTGGTGCTGACTTAAGGAAGCAAAGGGGCTCAGAAGGCATGCAGAGTTTGCTGCGTTTCTATTTATGTGGTAGGTTAATTGCTTAGTTTTTTAGCATTAGCATTAATGGACCAGGTAGCTGTCTTGCAAAGGGTACAAAACCAGAGTGGGTGAGTGTGCCACTTATTGCCTGGGTGAAGTTAAACTTATAGCTAATACCTTTAATTACTAGACTGAGATTTGACAGCACCTTATTATACACTTTTTAAAATACAAGAGCAAACTGGAATTGTAACCACTTAAACAAAAGAAAAAGAGAAAAAAGGAGGATAAGAATAGAACATGTTACAAGGATAACCTAGATTTTGTATAAACTTCATAGTACATATACAAAAATTGTGCCTAATATACTTAGATAATTTTAACATTAGGAAAATCTTATTTCAAATCAATTTTTATATTCTGTGAACCCCCCACAGCTTTGCCCCCCCTCTGGCCCATTCAACAACTTAACTACAGCTCCGCCACTGGCTGTATGCACATATGATTTAAAACCCAAGTTGCCATATGTGTACTTTACTGTCTGTCGATCACACAACACACTAAAGTTGCTATAGTCAGACTTTGTCGCCCTCTAGTGGCTAGAGTTATACCGCATTAGGTCTAATTCAACTAATTTAAAAAGGTAATACTTCAAGTGTTTCTATTGTTAAATATATAAGAATTAATATCCGTTCAATTTGTAATCTTTTCGATCGCAAAAGCAAAATTATTTTTTCATACATTTGTGAAAGAAAGAAAAAACATATCTAAAGAGCCGTGATTGTATGATCTTATCCAACCTAGGTTACAGAAAACCATCTTATTAAAACAAAAATTTACTGTGCAGAGTCTTAAAACTATAGTTAAAATTGTTCTAGTTGATATATATTTAGTGCATTATATGCAATCGTTTTGATTACGTACAAAAAACACAGAAGCAAAGAAAGAACAATGACCTAATTCCTCCCTTTCGATGAATTGAAGCAGGTGGTCACACATGTGATTATGTCAGCAGCAGCTGTAGAAACATCAACCTTGGATGCAAACCAACCTTTTCTTTTAGAAATCAAGGCCACACTCACAAACCATAAAAGCTGATTTACTGAACTCCAACTTTTTCAGAAACAGAGACAGAAATATTTTTAGAATTAATGGAAAAATGTCAAGGGTGAAGAAGCCAGTACACTAAATGATTCATTCTCTTTAATGTGGCTGGGATCTCAGCAGGATACATTTTTAATGACTGCATAGTGTGCATAAAAAATGACATTAAAACATCTACATGAAAATTGCAGCTGATGAACATAAAGCATATTGCAATTTGTCCTCTGATGCAGACTCATCATACCCGTCTGACTGCCCCCGGGATCTTAACACAGACGAAACAGCAGTGTCAAGGATTAACAGGTCATAATAAAAGTGTTGTATCCCTATGCAATATTAATAGGCTCTGACCTAATTGACAGTATTAGCAGTGCAAATGAAATGCCCGTATCAGACATCCCTGCTTTCAAAGCCTCTCAGACTGGAAGATGTTGCAGCTATTTTTGGATTCTATGTCCATCCAATTTCATTGGTGTGAATTAGAGAACAGATCCTACACTGGAACAGCTTTTAATGCAACTGCTTTTGGCATTAACTTAATCATATTTAGTTATCACAGTTATTTTATGTCCTACCCTGCCAACATGAAACAATAATAATAAAGTAACTAAACATGATTAAGTAAATGCTAAAAACGGTTACATTATTTTTTTCAGTCTACTATGGATGCATTATATATTATCTGTCTGGAGCTGTAACTTATAAGATATATTTGTGAATCAATCATGAAGACTCCTATTAACCATCATGTTTGCTTAGGCCCATGCCTCACAAATTTCTTACTATATTGATAAGTGCAATTAATGTTAGGTAGATTTCTAGATTTTTAGGTCTTCTGTCTGAAAATATTTAATCGAGTCAGTTGGGGTTTGAGCTTGATGGGAAAATAATCTGTTTTAGTAAATTGTGTTAGTTGGTCTCTCTTCGGAACAATGATTAATTTCTTACACATTAGGTCATTTTCATTCCACCAAGACAGCTGTTTCGTTTTATCCCATCACAGCTCAAAACATTATAATATAGTATAAAGTTCTGAAGTTAGAAAAATGTATTTTAAATGCATTCATCCATTTCTTAATGACAAACTAAACATATCTCTATGAATGAAGTCATGACTGGTTAGGCTACTTCTAATATTAGCACCAGTAGGAGGAAACATGGTAAAAATATAAGATTAATTTTCATAGATAGATAGATAGATAGATAGATAGATAGATAGATAGATAGATAGATAGATAGATAGATAGATAGATAGATAGATAGATAGATAGATAGATAGATAGATAGATAGATAGATAGATAGATTTCAGAATTGTACCAACTGCGGAACTGTGAACTTATAATTAGATTTTCGTCCTGTTGTTTAGACAAAGCATGTTTGGGATACCAGCCGCCTGCACTCAAGGCACTGAAATAGCGTTGACATAACACACACTTAGAGGTTAAATACTGATGGGGAGAAATGACGTCAAAGACTTAGTCCTGCCGAGTACAGATTCATGGAGAATGAAAAAGCATTTGAAGACATGGTTTAACCTTTTGCATTGTTTTATGTTTGTCTCATTGTATTACACATCATGTATATAAGGAAGTTTTTAGTCTTACACTCTCTGCTAATCTGGACATTATTGAGGAGCAGCACTTAAAAAGTAATAGCTGGAATGGAATCAGTTTGAGATTTTTGTCAAAGAACATAATGGAGAAAGTAACACGGTCTAATTAAGGTTTACAGTATAGGGTAAGATTCATTGGATCTTTCCCCCCCCCCTGAATTTGTTCTTTATTTAAAGATTTTATGGACTGCAGTGGGATTCTTTTTTTTCCCATTTGAGCAGGTGCTCCCTGCATCAGAGCTATTTAAATTGGAGATGAGAGGAGCGCTTTTGCGCATGCGTCACGCAGTCATCTGACGAGTGCGCCCTGTTGACGATTGGCAGCTCCACACCAAGGGCCACCGCTCTTACTACGGGAACGCACACACTCCGTCTCCGCCAGGACGCATCTGTTTGATGAATAAACCCTTTATCAAACAGTGAAGATAAAACAATGCGAAGCAGCTGAACGGTTAAAGAGAAAAGAAACGCGCGTTGAAATGTGGCGGGCGGTGCGGGATTAAGGGGCTGGGAGCTCGGGGGGCTGCGTGGGTCTTCCTTCCAGGGATGCCATGAAAATCACAGGAGCGGAGTAGCTGAGAGAGGAAAAAGAGACCGTCGCTCTTCGCTAGAAACGCAGAAAAGGCAGCGGCGCCGGTGGCGGAGAGAGATGGATCCATTTGGAAACCTGCGCTTCTTTAGGTAGCGCTGAGGAAGATCCAGGGAGAGCTGAGCCGTCTCTGCCTCTGCCTCCACCGGAGCTGTCTGGAAGGATGGATTTCAACCTGCTTCGGAACATCATCAGCAGATACGTAAGGGCCACCGTCTAAACCATCTTTCCATGTCTGCATGAACTCAAACAGCTTTTATTTCTAAGCTTGCGCTGGTTTCCCCCAGAGGTGGGTGACACAGAATGACAGATGCTTTGCTCATCTGCAGTCATGCACATGTCACAGGATCAGGTTTGGCAGAAGCCTCACTGTTGTTTTTTGGAGCTCAATGAGAAAGTGCCAGTAGCTGCAGACCCTGTGTGTGTTTGTGTGTGTGTNGACACAGAATGACAGATGCTTTGCTCATCTGCAGTCATGCACATGTCACAGGATCAGGTTTGGCAGAAGCCTCACTGTTGTTTTTTGGAGCTCAATGAGAAAGTGCCAGTAGCTGCAGACCCTGTGTGTGTTTGTGTGTGTGTTTGTGTGTGTGTTTGTGTGTGTGTGGGTGTGTGTGTGTGTGGGTGTGTGTGTGTGTGGTTGGGCAGATAGAAACTTTGCTGGCCTATTTATAGAGCTTTGCTTAAATATTCATGCCCCACGTTTTGTCACACACAGTCTACAGCAAACACGTCTGGATGTGATAGACCAGTAGAAATAAGTGAATGGAAGCATAAAACAAATTAATCTCAGTCAATCTCTTTTGGTTGTATTGTTTGGCTGGAACACCTTGTCTGAAGCCAGGGGCGATTCTAGGGTCAGAGGTTTAGGTGTGCTGAGCTCCCAGAGAGCTGCCTTATCAGGCCTGATAAATTTCCCTGTTTTCTACATATATTTTCAACATTTTTTAAACTTGCTTTACTGCCTTTTACCAATTTCAATCATTCACTTATGCACCACATCTGACTTTTGCCAAATATCCGACAATCAAAGCAGAAAGCAGCATTTGTTTTTGACAGGAATATTCTACCATTTAAATTCTTTTAACAAGTTTTCTAGAAAGGCACTATTGTGTGCAAAACTGAGTGAGTGGAAACTAGAATATTTCTACCTATGTAGGCCCAGTAGTTTTATCTCTCAAATCAAAAGGCAGATTTTAAGTTAAATTGGTGTGGTAGCTGCATCTCTTCTTCTCTTTCCATGCTCTGCTTTGTCTCATCTCTCTGTTCTTCTTCTCCATGTATAGTAAAATAAAGCAAGTAAAGCATAAAGATTATTAGGAAATTATTAGGATTATTAGGAAAACTATATACGTCTTGTTTAGACAGAAGTCCACTGATATGTTAGGTGTATGGATGTTTTTGGAAGGCGTTTAATTTTGGGCGATCATCAAAATAATGTTTTTCAGATTTATTAAGAAATATAAACATTTATTTGGGCTACTCCTACCCCAATCACGTTGCTTTTCTTTCTTTTTTTTTTAAACAAGTAATGAAATGACCATGATGAGGCTGTTTTCACACAAACATATCTTGTGTCACACTATCCTTGTGGGCACCTTCCTTTGACTTCCATTCATTTCCAACTAATTTCAATGGCTTAACCATGACCCTTGCCCTAACCCCAACCACTACCATCACATACTTAAAGTTCTAGTTATACTCCTGCAACAGTGTGTCACAGTGAGCTTGTTGCAGATATTTTTGATTTATGCCCAATTTTGAAGCGTGGTCAGCGCTATGTTATTCCACGCCACAACGCAAAAGGGAAAATCACAAACTAGCTGTGGGTCTGGATACGGCCGAGGCGCTGAGGAAGTGGGGGCAAGTTTGTGTGACAACAGAGGGACATGAAGGTGAAAAAGAGCGGGGATCCAGGTGGAAAAAGGGTCCCAGCATTCCTGCGCACCTCGCTCTTCTAGCTGGTAAGGTACCAAACAGGAAATACGGATAGTGTAGAGTGGATGTAGATTTGACCAATCAGAGACCTCCAGTCTCCTGTTGGATAGGTGCATCTGAGTGTCTGCAGCAGGGGCGGGGAAATATCTGCGTTAACTGCGACACACAGGCAGACGACCTGCTTTCTGAGTGTAAATCAGCTTTAGGACTCATCTAAACTTAATTCACACATTAGCTCTAAACCTTACCCCCACCCCAAGAACAGAACTTCTCCTCATAGGGGCCTGTCATTAGTCCCCATAAGTACCTATAAGTCCTACACCACATTCAGTCATTCACCTATTCATGCACAAACTATATTATAGCCACTGCTGCCCTGGGGCTCACTGCCAGAAGCGAGGCTGCCATATAGTGGCCCCACCGGGCCGTCTGACCACCATCAATAAGCAATGCATGTGAAGTGTCTTGCCCACTGACACAACAACACTGAAAACTGGAGCTGGGGCTCAAACCAACAACCCTCCGATCGCAAACTCCTGTGCCTCCGATGCCCCTGCCACCCCAATGGGCATCCAGTTAGCTTGTCATTAGTAGCATCTTGGCTTTTATAAACACATGCATATGACAGCAGCTACCTTCTCCCATTCCAGTTTAAACCGGACAGTTGTACTGAACACCTGCAAGGTTAGCAAACTCCTACCTAAACACATAAAAAAGTCTATTTTCAGTTTAAGCACAGCAAACACATGGACTAGTAATCATATGAATGTGTTGGTATTAAGTATAAATTGAGCAGTGTAACATATTCTGGTTAAAGTCAGACACACACTGCTATCGCAGGTCCATCACTCATAAGGAAGCGCTTTGTTCTGCAGAGAGCTCAGACTGACTCCCTCCCAGAGTCCTTGAAGGTAGAATGATGGATCGAACCATTTTGAAGGTGGGTGGTTGAAACATTACTTGTTAAACCAAGTAATGTATAGTTATTTCTAGGGCTGAAACAATTAATCGGATTAATCGTAATAAATCGATTATTGAAATAATTTGCAACTAAAGGCACTAAAATGTGCCTTTAGTTGACAGAGCAACTCACTTAGAGCCATAATTATACCAAATGATTCAAATTTATTGTTTAGATGATAAATTAAGTTTCTTATAATGACTAGAAACTTATCGTGATGATAATGAACTATACGATAAACACCCACCCCTAGCTCTATCCATCCACATAGCAAGGATTTTGCCACCACCATGTTTAACAGTGGCGATTGAGTGTTAAATATTTAATGCATAGAACTAGGGCTGAAACTAACGATTATTTTGATTAATCTGTCAATTTTTTGTAATAATCCGATGGCAAACGGTTCCTTATAGATTCTTTTATGAAATTAAACCAGGTGAAACTAAACTTAGACTTAGACTTACGCAGATTTATTTGTCATTTTATTTACACAAGTGTAAAACAAAAAGAAATGAAACAATTTTTTTTTTTCAGTTTTGGATAGAAAATATTGACAGATGAAAATGTTTGATTTATTATAAATGCAAAATACTTGTTTTTTTTTGGTTTTTTTTGTACAATTTTGATCTAAGTGCAGCTCAAGGTGGGCTGCTCTGGCCAAACTCCAGTTAATGATTAATTGATTTCTATATTAGTTGTCGATATTTCAATAATCGATTAATCACGATTAATTGTTTCAATGTAGAATTTTGTAATTTTGTTTGTAAAAACATCAAATCTGGCTTTGTTTGACTTACAAGTGTATTTGCTGTATATGCACTAGGGAATAGAGATCAAAGAGTATAGATAATGTAAAACATACTTTTAGCTAACAGAGCAACCCACTTTCAGCGGTTATTATATCAAATGCTAAAAAATATATAAACATTTTGTATTTAAGAGGAATAAAATTTTAAAAATAATTGACAGATTAATAAATTTACAAAATAATTGTTAGTTGCAGCCCTAATATGCACCCTACCTGGCTTGCGGCTCATTTTAAACAGAACATTCCTTAACAGTGGATATATTCTTGATAGTGTAATATATATATAGATCTGATTTGTCTAGTGCGTGTTTGATAGTTATACATTTAACAGATCTCTCTCCTGAGCTGTGACCTCCTCCACTCTATAGAGCTGCTAATAGCCTTGTGGTTACTTCTCTTATTAATTATCTCCCCTGCGCTCTGTCAGTTTAGCTAGACAGCATTTCTTGTTAGTTTAGCTGCTTCTACCTTTTTTAACCTTTTTCACATTTTTTTTCCATGAAGCTACAGGCAGCTTAAATAGTTAATGTTTTTTTTTATTCAATGTTTTTTACTTCTTTCACTCGCCGCCCATAAGCCAAGACGGCGTAGAACCACAAATAACCACAAACCTTCAGTAGTACAAAATGAAGAAGAGTGTCTACAAAAGTAGTTTTTTGTGCGGATTTTGCTTCACAATTGGATCTAGATTTGGACTTTGATTCTGACTCTTTTATATGCTTTGATTTAAATCATTCCTTTGCTGCACTGGTTCTATGTTTTGGGTTGCAGCCCTGCTGGAATGTGAGCATCCACATTAGTCTCTTGGTTTTTTGCAGCTTATAACAGGTTTGTTACCTGGATTTAACTCTATCCACATCCCTGTCAGGTGTGCTTAACGCTGTTGGTGAAAGGTATTTCTCCCACAACATGTTGCTAACACCACTATGTTTCATGGTGGGGTTGATATGTTAACAGCGGTTTTATGTGAAATTTTGGGGGGGGGGTTTTGTCACACGTGAAAGGCACCATTTTCCACATGTTTTATGTTTTTTGTATTTTTTTGGGGGGTCTCTTTACTGCTTCTCTGATCCATACTCTCTTTGCCCGGCCTTTCAATTTAGGTGGCTTAGCTATTGTTTTGGGCATCGGGAATCGATCAGAACCCGTTCTAACCTTTCAGTTTTCTCGGGAATCATGCAAATTTTTTAAATTTTCCATTCCTAGTTTCAATGCTTAGGCTTCTGAACAGAAACGGCAAGCTACCAACTATCAGCGCAGAAGAATCTGCAGCATTGTGTGCGCAACCATCTGTTTCTGCTGCTGCATTCGAAGGTGGGGCTTAAAGTTTATAAAGGAAATGACCAGACGGCTTCCTGCGACACCGGTGATGGGATTATATACTGCAAAGCACGGCTAATGGTTGACATGATTAAACACAGACAGAGTCAGGATAAGAGCTTCCTCTTTGACCTGCTGCACTGGTAATGTGCTACGATAGGCTCCCTGTGGAAAT